AATGAAGGGTCATAAGTCAAGGACTACCTGAATGTGGCCTGAATGTCCATTACTGTAATGTTGTTAATATTTTCTCCTGGATTTCAGAGGGAAAGGTAATATACATGCACAGTCATGCAGAATAAATGTTGCTATATACTCAAGAATGGGATCTTGGTGGGTATTTTTTCTTTTTTTTAATTTTCTTTTTCCAAAATTTGTGGGCCCAGAGAAATTGTTCATTAGTTTGAAAAAAAATCTTATGCTAATAGCAATCTCCTTTTGATAGCATGCAGAAAAGCAATATAAGTAGTTATAAGTTGAGAATAAATGTGCAGCCCAGCTGGACACTAAAATCCTAAAAGGTCACACAGAAAAGGAAGATAATGGGGTTTGGGACAGTAAATATAGCATTTACATAACTCTTTTGGCACTTTTTTGTTTGCTTGACAAATTGGTCATACTGTTACAGATGGATTCCTTACACCATGTCATACACCAGGCAGGAAGATATGACAGCATTGTGGGAAACCCCCTATATTCGACACAGCGCATTGATGTAAGGAGCTTCTGATTTTGAAACTGAATGTCTTGAGCTGTGGAAGTCTGACATGGCAATGTTGGTTAATGTAACCACCTCTGCAAATGCAATTATAATAGAACTCTACTGCGGCATTAACTGTGGTGTTGCTAGCACCTTGCCATAAGACTGCTGCTTCAAAGAGTGGGGGAAATAGGCATCCTGTTGCCAGTTTTTATTATTCAGGGAGTTTTTAAAAATCCCTCATGTTTAAACTGTAAGAAACCTTTCTCTGTATTATTCATGGTACTGTGAAGAACCGTGAATGATTAGGGATGATCAGAAAGAGAAGCTGGCTCATCTACTCATCCATATTGGCCCAGTGAATTAGAAGGAAGCATCTTTCAATCCCCTCCCATTGGAGGAGAGTGCTCCCAGTTGAAAGAAGAGACTGCAGGAGAGAGTGAGAGAGAGGAAGCAAATGCATGCACAGCAACTAGCCTGCAGTGAAATCCACACACTGGCCTTAGATTGGCTCCTATCCCCAAGTCTGCATTTGGGAACAGAAATATATGTGGGAGTATATTTTTCCGTCCTGTACTCTGAATTCTTTGAATTGTTTGAGAAAATCAACAGGCAGTAAAGCTTTAACTATTTAGACAAATTAGCTGGAGAAATTGGGCAAGAAGAAAGGAGTCCCGTTTGGGAGAAAAAGAAGCCATGAAACAAATGCAGCAGAAGCAGCATTCGCTCAATATTTTACCTTCTGTGTCCCAGAAAGTGAATTGTGTGTGAAGATGTTTACTATGAGACTAATCATAATGGAACAAAGTCTGTGTCTTGCACATGGCATAATGCTCTCCTTTTGTGATTTGGGAAATCGTAATCAGAGTGATTTAAGAGGCAAGTAGTAGCATCTTGTGGACTTAACAACAAAATGCCTTTATTCCCTCTTCAGGCTAATGGCAGCTGGCAGGACGCTACTACCCCTTCATCAATCACTTCACCTACTGGAGATCCAGGAAGCATTAATTCAGATGCATCTAATTAAATGTTTTAGGACCTGTTGAGGAGAGGAAAGAGGTCATTAGTGTATCTTGTCAATGTTGCTCTTTTTTTGCCAATACTTTTGATTCTACAACTTGACACACACACAGCTAATTACCTCAGACAAAATAAAAAAAAAAAGAAAACCAATGGAAGATTGTGATTATATATGGACACCTCTCTACCTCTCGGCATGATGTGCTTGAGTTCTTCTTACTTCTGCCCTTTGGGTTCTAAAGGAACTGGCTTCATTTACCAAAACAAATTGTTTTTTAAAAAAAACGAATTACCACTTTTATGCTTAAGAGTTGACTCCATTTTTCCAGTTTTAAAAAAATGCAACTGATTTTAATTTCTATGTGTTTTTACTATAAAAATTCTGTTTTAGATGCTAGTTACTAACAAATAGCTCCTCTTGTATTGTAATTGTATGCGTTATCTGTATTGTAATTTTCTAGAGGAAGACTCTATCTTTGAACTCATTAACCAGAACAGGCTATTGCTTTACCAAAATAATTATTGGACTTTGCTCTTTGAATAGAAACTTCATCTTCTGTCACTCTCATGTAGCTCTAATTTAATGTCTTAGAGTATACACAGACTTGTCTGTGAATAGATTTTTGTACATCTAGGAAAATGTTAGTAGCAAAGTCATCACTTTCAGTTTAAATTTATCAAAGAATAAACTTCCAAAGTCTTTTTTTCCTTTCTGCCTTTTTCCAAGTTTTCCTTCATGTTTGATGGATGGTATTTACCAGTAGAGTGGGGTAAAAATAAGGGATTGGTTCACGCTGCAGTCTTTTCTATGCCTACTCAGAGATATCCCATCTATGTAATTGGAGACCCTTTGTTTGGCCCACTAGCTCTTTGGAATATGCAACTACCGGCTTCCCATAGTCATGTTAACTGAAACTCTCGCGAATTAATGTAACCAAAGTTGATGAAATTTCTTGCCAGGGTTACTACTACCACATATGAATGCACTGTTCATTTGTTAAAAAATTGATTCAAATGTTAGCTGTTGTTCGGTATCCAAACCATATATTTTGATTTTTTGGAGTTAAGCATTATGAGAAAGCTCTATCAGTACCAATCAATAGATGGGCCAGAACTTAAAATGTATCCAACAGTTCTCCCCTGCAATTGCATAATCAATATTTTGCACTTAAAATAGTTTTGAAGAGCATGCTTATTAACACGATCCATTGCTAAACATCAATAAGATGAAATAGGCTGGTCTTCCTCAATCAGATATTCAGAATGTTGGGGACTATAACCTGAACCTTCTGGAGGCTGCGTAAATGAAGTAGCTGCTATAAATAAAAACACTGCCTAACAGTTGTGTTTGAAGGAGTAGAAGGGGGGGGGGACATTGGCAATTATACGTGTGAGTTTCCTTTATGTTTTGTATTTCTTTTAATCTAAACATTTCGTTCCAATAAGAAAGAGACAGTCATTTTAAAAATCTGAAACTATGCTCTGGGTATCAACTGTTGCAGAAAAGTCTGGCAGAGCAAACTTTGGATTTGGCTTATGTACTCATTTAGAATTCAACTCTTCCTTGAGTTCAAAGGTATCGTGACAGTTGGTAACACTTGTATATACTTACTGTGCTCAACTTCTTTGCTTAGAAATGATGGGTAGCAGGATCACATCTGTTTTGTTTATGCCTTTTAACTATATGGATATTCATTAGCATGTTCCCACTATTTGGGGTAGGGACTATTTTGTTTGATTGAAGTGGATAAACTACATAGCTTTCCAGGTCCTCCAGTGATGGTTGATCATCAAAAGCAATTTTCAATTTCTCTGGCATGAGATCTTTTGGGCACAAAGCTGTTCCTGAATTGAAAAACAAAAACAGAAAACAGAAAAATCCTTGTTTTGGCTGTTTCCTGAGATTGATTCAAATAATGTGTTAATTTCCCATAGTCATCTCAATTTCTCTTTTCATATTCTGGCTATTCTGACATTTGCCAAAGGAATTGGGGACATTCAAATACTGAGTTCAGGGAGACTATAAAGGCACTGTTAAGCTAAATTATTCTTTTTTGAATAAGTGATAAAAAGTGTCTATGGAGAGTCTGTCTCAGTCTCAGCCTGAAGAAGCTTCTTGAATGAGAACTGAAATGTCTTCAAAGAAAAACAAGAAAGTCCACTTGCCTCTTGAAAAAGTAACTTTGGGACAAGTCGTAAAACGATATATTTTCTTTTCACATTGTGAAATGAATTCAAAGTTCATTGGAACCTTTCCTATCTAGCCCTGCTTTTAAGGAATGCCTGCCATTGCAGATTTCATTTTCTGGTGATCCTGTTTCACTATGAAGTATTGGAGATCATCAATCCTCATTCCCTCTCCAGCAGCTTTAGTAATCAAATTTGGGATGTGACATTGTATTTCTTGGATCTTTATAATCCTTATGACAAGGAAGACCCAAGAAATTAAATGCACATTTCAGAAATCTACAATTAACGTAAGTTGTAATTTAATAGTATTTTCATTTTGAAAATGAAAATGCGAGATACTGTAATACAGAAGTTAATACAAGTTTCATTGTTGAGAATGTATGACAGACCACCCTCGGATTATCGATATGAAAACATGCAAAGGGGCCGATTTGCTGGAATGATTATGAGAGTTGTCTACAGAAATCTGGAATTTGGCATCAGGCCAGAAGAGGGATTTTTTTTCCCTGCAATGTCGAAAAATAAAAGGTTTTGTATACAACTAACAGGCTTAGGCAGAAGCGGGGTGGGGTGGGGGGCAGGTAACTTAAAGCGGATCTATGCTACCAACTTCGAGCTTCGGTGTGAGTATAAGAGAAAAACTCTCCCTCATCCTGCAACGGCACGAGGAGGAGTTGCTTCTGCAGCACAATGTTTAACATGAAAAAGAATACCTTTTAATGAAACATGTATAATGAAACGTGTTTTTTTTTTTAAAAAAAATCTTCCATTGTTTTTGGCTGAGAGACAGAACTTAACTGTACAAGTGCAGAGATCCTGGATTTCTTCGTTTTTCCTCTCGGAGGTAGAGTGGGCAGAAAATATTTTTCTAGTTAGAAGTCTATGATTTCCAAATAAAAGCATTTTTTCAATCTCATGCTACGAACACTGCAAAACAAACAATGGGATAAAATAACTGGAGAGGTGAGTTGTTCAGACTCCTCCAATGTGATGGATTATATGGGCCACTGATAAAGGGGGGGGTGTATTTAGATGTCCCCAAAGTTGTCTTAGTTTCCTCTCTTTGACATTCTGCTCCTGCAAGTGACATAAACGCGTCCAACAACCCTAAACCTGATGAGAAGAGGCTAGTAAATTAAGTTACACCATCTTTCCCAAACAGGTTCTGGCTCTACGGTCCAGAAGCCAGCGCTTGGAAAGCGGGGTGGGGGGTGGGGGGTGGAGTACGCATGCGCCCAAGCAGCCTTGGTTAAACAAAAACAAACCCCGCCTGCCTATTGGCGAAGGACGGCCGGGTTGTAAACGCGCATGTGCCGTGGCGGGCTTGTTTGATTTTTATTCAGGCGAAGACGGTAAAGAGTCGCGGAGTTGGAGGAAGGGGAGTCCCGTTCGGGCTGGGTAAGTGGAAGATGTCTCCTCGCTTTCCAGGTTTCATTTCCGTGTCTTTTTCTTCGGGCTCTCCTGGGCGCTCTGAAATCCGTTGCTTCTTAATGGCTCGACTCCGCTCGAGTGTCGGTTTGTGTGGTCAGGCGGTGATGCCAGGGCGCTTCCACCGAGTGCGGCCCTCCCCTTTTGGAGAAGTAAAGCTGCCTAACCGCGGGAAGCTAGTTGGTCACCAGAGCAGTGGGTGGGTGGGTGGCCTTGTTAATCTAAGGTGGTCATTCCGCAGACTGGCCGCCACGTCGCTTGACGGGAAATCCTCGACTTACAACCGTTCATTTAGTGACCAAAGTTACAAGGCACCGAAAAATGAGTTATGACCATTTTTTCACACAACCATTGCGGCACCCGCATGGTCACATGATCACAATTCAGACGCTTGGCCACGGGTTCAGATTTATGACGGTTGCAGGGTCCCGTGATCTTGCGACCTTCTGACCAGCAAAGTCAAGGGGGAAGCCAGATTCCCTTAACAACCGGGTTCCTAACTTAATAGCTTCAGTGATTTGCTTAACAAATGTGAGAAAGGTCGTAAAGTGGGGCAATGTTCACTCAACAAAGGTCTAAAAACCCAAATGTTGCGGTCGATTGTGGTTGTAACTTGAGGACTACTGGTATTTATATTTGGTGCTGAAAGGGTGGCAGAGAATGATGCTTTTCACTGAAGTGGCTTTTTAAGGTTGCTGCATGGCGGGACTATTAATGTCTTTAATGCAAACCTAATGTATCTGTATTGTAATGAGCCTCCCAACCACTACATGCCTAGCAGTCCTCTGGGTATTTGCAGCCCAGGTGTGGTAGCCCTCTTGAGTATATAGTCAAATGTTCAATGGATCAGAGGTTCTTGGCCATTCCTACCTTGTATTTTGTGTTTGTTGGTCTTGTGCTTGTTTAAAGCCAGTGGTAAATACAAACAAAGCTTTTTTTTAGCTTCAACAGGCTGTTCTGTCTTGTGAGAAATATACATTTTTTTTTGTTTCAGATCAATTTTCAAGACATGCAATCTGCTTCTATATGTGGAAAAAAGGCTGAGACGTTGGGTAAAAGAATTAGTATAATTTTTGTTTGAACTTCTGTAACTATATATATTACATAAATAAAATAAAATTTATATATACATATGTTTTCTTAAGTTTTCGCGGGTACTTACATGTATGGCATTCAGCTTTGTTCAGGTATTTTCCCACATCATTATAGTTGTGCTTTTAAAGTTGTAGCAACGTTTTGGCAGAATCTCATCTGCCATCATCAGGCTTCTGTATAGTGTTCGTCTGTGAGTCAGCCGTTTCTGCTTTAAATTTGGTGCTAGCCTATGCTGTGCCGGAATGGTTTTTTTCTTCATCCTGATTGGTTGGGAGTCTTGGTCTGTGTTTATTGGTCTTGGAGTTTGCTGTGTTCTGCTTGATTGGTGTTTCTAATATCTTCTGTCTGTTTTGTGGCTTTTATTTGTCTTGATTGGCTGGCAACATTGTGTTCCTGTATTGGAGGCTTTTAGTGCAGCTGGGCTCCCAGTAAATGGACGGCTATCATTAGTTAGGAAGCTAGGTTTCATCTGGGTGCCTGGTTGGGGTGTGTTTGAGCTGGAGGTATCAGGGGGAGTCTGTTTGTGCCCAGGTGTTTGGCTGGCTTGTGGTGTGGAGATTTTTTTATTTGAGAGTGCAGGCTTCCAGATAATTGACAGTCTGGTGGAATCATCTATTCATGCTTTCAGGTCTTTTTTCAATCTCTGTGGCTTCTCTGATAGTTCTGTAGCTGGGGTTTTCTATAGTGGGTAGGGTTTTGGTGCCATTGAAGTTGGTGCTGTGACCTGTGGCTTTCATGTGTTGGACTAATGAGGAAGTGTGTTCCAGCTTTTTTACTGCATTTTTGTGTTCATCCAGGCGGGTACTTATTCTTCTATTGGTCTGTCCAATGTATGTGGCAGGGCATGATGCACAGGGCACTTCATATATGCCTTGGTTTTCCAGGTCAGTTTTATCTTTGGGGTTTCTTAGGATGGCTGCTATTTTTCTGTCTGTTTTGAAGGCAGTCTTGATGTGATGCCTGTGTAGTATCTTACTAATTTTGTCTGTAGTACCTCTTATGTAGGGCAGGACAGCTGTTCATAGGTCTGTTCATCTTCTAGGTCTCCATTATGTCTCAGTGTGCTTTTGTGGATCAGGCCAGTGATTTTGCTTTTGTGGAAGCCGTTAGCTGTCAGTACTTTAGTCAGGGTGCATAGTTCAGTCTTTATGTGTGTCTTGTCTGCCAGGCGTTTGGTTCTGGTGATTAGTGTTTTGGCCACAGAGTTTATCTGTACTGGGTGGTGGTGGGATTGGGCGTTGAGGTAGCGGTTGGTGTGTGTTTTCTTCTGGTATATGGTGTGTCCTAATGTGCCATCTGTTTTTTTGTAGATTAGTACATCTAGGAATGGTAGTTGTTTGTTTGTTTCCATTTCCATGGTGAATTTGATTTTTGGGTGTGCTGTTTAGGTGTGTTAGGAAATTGTTTAGGATTTTTTTTTCTATGGGGCCAAATAACCAACTTTACAACTTTAAAAGCACAACTATAATGACGTGGGAAAATACCCTAACAAAGCTGAATACCATACAAACACACACACACACACATATCTCCTATTCCTGTGTCAGATTCTTTTCCCTCTGCTTTACAACCTGTTTCCATGCATTTTAAATTCATACAATTGAAACAATTCAGTTGCATGCTGAATTTCTTTCCATTTTGCTTTGAAATATTTTTGTTTTGACCTGAAGCATGTTTTTTCTACTTTCCTTCTTTGCAGAAAATGCATATAACCAAGAGATAGTGGCTGCTGAATGCTTTGTCAAACCAGATAATGTTGCTAGTTGTAGCAAAGCGATCCCACTTGAAATGACAACCAGTCATTCAGAGATGTTGGCCGAGACTAGCAAACAAAAATGCCATCCACAAAATAATCTGAAGAATGAGTGTCCCCATGGGCTTGAAAAAGCATCCTCACAGAGTATTGATCCTGAAACACACGGTGCTTCAACTTCATTTAATGTATCCTTTGGACAGCTCCCTACCCCAAAAGTTCCACGTCGCTCCATTAATCGCTACAGTCTGAAACTAGGTGTTAATCGCCGGAAGTCATTGCCACCTTTTCAGATCAATATTTTGGGTATGTTTCCTTTACGCAAACATCAATTAAGGATAAACTTGGTAGGAGGAAGGCAACATGAGTTGAGTTCTGGAAGAAGCTATGTGAACTATTCCAAAACAGATGGCACTCTTAAATTTGCTTCCAGCTGAACTACCCAACTGGTTTGTTGCATAATAATACTGGGGTTAGCTTTTTTTTTTTTTAATAGACTTTCTGCCTTCCTCAGGGCAACAACCCTCAACATTAGATTGGAAGAACTGAAAGTTTTAGTCCACTATTTGTGTATTGAAGGTTTGGGCTTTTTTAGCAGAATGTATGTCTTAGTCTAAGGATTGTGCACTTAGATTACCAAGACATGAGACACATTTTCAAAACTTAGTTTTACCCATTTTGAATGGCTCTGTGTTGCAGAGAAGATGTTGTGGTGTTATATTACAGGCCACAGGTTGCCTGTTTCTGGTCTAAAACAATGTTTACCTGTCCTTAAATAATTGCACTATGATTTTCAAAAAATGCTCTTTACAAATCCCAAGTAAATGAAGTAGTAATGAATTACTACTAGTGAAGTTGTGAAAAATTTGGGGGCATAAAATGCTCTAGTTCAATTTAGTATTTATCTATTTAATTTATTATTTTCCAACTTGGTCTTCTCTAAAGATGGTGAAAGATCAACTCTCATCCAGCTCTAAGTTAGAGGAAGGCTCTGTTTTGTAATAATGCTTACCTGTTCAAAAATAAGTATCACTCTCTTTAGAAAGGTTTGCTTCAAGGTATGCTTGTGGAATATAAAAATGTAAATTGACTAAAAATATTAGGCATAGTGTTCAATTGTTAAAATACAGTAATTTGAGAAACATATTATTTCCCAAATTGAAATAATACCAAAAATGGGAGATATTAAAAGCACAACAATCCTAATTAACATATTACCCAATTCTGCAAAAAATAAAATGTGGAATAAAATTGTCTGGCTAATTCACTGTAGTTTAAATGATATTTTGCTAAACTTTCAGAATTGAGTAAGGCAATCAGCCTGGATTTGCCAGAAGCTGAGAGAATGGCAGCACTCCTTCTTTCTAGTTTCCAGGTAAAGTTCAAGTTAAATCTTAATGGGGTTGCCACTGTGGAAAAGTGGTGGCTACACAGACTTTTTCTTTGTTGAGCGTGGATACAATGGTGATGGTAGCATGATGAACGCAGCAAGGAGGAGACCTTCAAGCTACATATTGTAAGAATGCACAAGCCGCTATCTAAATTAGGCTCTTATCAGAATCAGTTCTGATTAGCAATGAAGTTCTTATTATAGAAAGTGCTAATTTTATTGATCTGATTATTGAGAACTAGTTGATTTATACAATAAGTGCACTTCTGATTACTGGAGCCTGATTGGGGTTTTGGTTGCAGTATATATAAGTGGATAAAAATTCTGTTATTTTTAGTAGCATTGTTGAAAAGTTAAATTTTAGCATGAAGTCTGAACATTTAAAAATCAAATAATTCAAATTTAAATCTTTTCTTTCCTGTTAGTACTCTGCACAAAAGCTTGAGCAGTCTCTAAGGCCCATTGAAGGCTTTGATTTTGAAACTTTTCAGCAGAATGGTAAGTTTCATGTATGGTTTACCTCAAGAGAGAAAAGGTTATGTCCCACCTGAAGTAAACCTGGGAATCAGTTTGGTCAAGACTATTGACCTTAAAACAAGTATTCTGAGAAGCTGATTCTCAGCAACCTGAAAACCAGTCCAAATTATTTCAGACAGATAATTTTGATGGAAATCTGCCATATTTCATTCTTAACTATGTTAACTTGGCTTATGGTCTTCACTGAACATAGCAGTTGATAAAAAAAAACCTCAGATAGCTATCACGCAGGTATTTACAACTAGATGTGGAAATGTGACCAATGGTCTATCCAATTAATGCAGGACACTAAATAGGCTTATAAAACTATTGTACTGTAGGAGGAGGAGCAGAACCTGAGTAGAGAGTCAAAAGAGGAATCAGTCTAGAACAGGGGTCCCCAACCTTTTCTATACCCCACACCCCTAGAACGCTTCTGATATATTCTTGCATCCCATATAATTATGCATATACACTATAATTTTGAAAGTTCTAAACCCAAGTTTTTGCACTCCCTGGAATATCATCTCGTACCTCTGGTTGGGAATCCCTGGTCTAGAGTCTACATGTCCACAAATGGACTAAGTCCAACCCCTCTTAAATTCTGTTGACCCTTATCTAACACCAAGATGCTGACAGTTGAGTAGATTCCTGTGCGTAGGCATGATTAACAATAAATCAGTTTAATTGGAACTCATATGTAGTCCTGATCTTTCACGCCTGACATGTACTTGCTAACTTGATTCTTCTGTGTTATACACTACCTTTGGCATCCCATTATGTTAATTGAAATTTTATTTAGGAATACAACCAATGTTTCCTTCTTTCTATGTATTGCAAGAAAAAATCAATGGTGGTAGATAAAAGTTCAGAAAAATTGGTCCTTCAAACTTAGAATACAGAAAGCTATTTTTTCCCCACTTGGTGATCTCTCCTATAACATTTCATCCTATTCACTCTGGTTTTTCATTATCTTTTCCAGTGAGCTCACTTTCAGAAGAGCTGAGGCTCCATACAAAGAAACTGATTTTCAATGGAATGGTGCAGAAATGCTTTGATGACCCCAAATGGTAAAATGACTAATCTTTTTTTTAATGTGTTCCAACTAAAACATGTTCTTATAGTCATGTACCTGACACATAAGGTACCTGACCTACACTTCTTGAATTCTTGGTGATCTCTGAGTTTGGTTATTTTCCTGCAGACATTTAATTGCTAGTCTATATAACAACAGCGCAAGGGAGACTGGAGTCTGCTGACTGTCTAACAGTTTGCCCTTTCAGTCTTGGTGGGGATGTGGCTTCCTCCTTGATGGTTTCTTGAATAGGCTATTGTTTCTTCCCTGATTGTTCATGTGGTTCTATTTCCTGCTTATCAGGGGTTTAATTGCAGGAGTAGATATATATTCTAGGCTATTTACTTCCTTCCTGGACTTTTGACTATATTGTAAATGGTATGTGCAGGTAGTCCTCAACTTTCAACAGTTCATTTAATGACCATTTGAAGTTACAAAGGCACTGAAAAAAGTGACCTATGACCATTTTTCATATTTATGATCATTGTGGCATCCTCATGATCATGTGATTTACATTCAGATGCTTGACAACTGACTCACATTTATGATTTTTGTAGTGTCCCGGAGTCATATGATTCTCTTTTGTGACCTTCCGACAAGCAAAGTCAATGAGGGAACCTGATTCACTTAATAACTGTTATTAATTTAAGAATTGCAGCGATTCACTTAACAAATGTGGTCAAAAAGCCATAAAGTAGGGCAAAACTCAACAAATGTTTCACTTAGCAACATAACCTTTGGGCTCAATTGTGGTCGTAAGTTGAGGATTACCTGTCCATATTTGTTTATTTTGCCAATCTCACTATCTGAAACCACTCTTCAAAGTGGTGATGGTGCCTCAGGAAACATCACTATCCCCCAGCAGACAAATCCAAACCATTGTTATGAACAGAACACAATATGTATGGAAAGCCAAAGACCACTGAGGATAAAGAATCCTACAGTCCCATAAATAACAACTCAATATGAACATGGACAACCAAATCAAGAAAATCCTAAACATTTTAAGCAGGAAAGGACAAATCATGAAAATAGAGTTGCAGATGAAAAGTGGTAGACCTGCCCTCCTATACTTCTATGGACATCCAAAATAATGTCCCACATATCACCTGTATTACTATCAGAGTCCTTAACCTACAATGCATCCAAAGCACTCACCAGAAACTTTGACATCTTGCAGATGGGTGGAAATAATCTTATTAATGCTCCACTACAGGGGTTCCACAATATCAAGGACCTAAGAATAAAAGAAGGTGAAATTATGATTTCACTTGATGTCACCTAGATATAGAAGTACCCCAAAAAACCACTGCAGCATCACTACACAAACACACATGCAACCTAACAGAACATACTAAAAACCAGAATCATTACATTCATCAGTCTTTGCTTTTCTGTTCAATGGACAAATATATTAAGAAATCATAAGAACATCCAATTCAGTACTCAGGATTCTTAGCTAAGATTGCGATGCGATGTCTAGAAGCAGTAGCATTCTCACACAAACACTAAAACTTTAGATCTGCTTTTTAGATGACAAAGCTTAGAGAGTTACAATGACCCAACAGTTCACCCCCAAGCTACAGATATTCTCTCTATTGTATGCTGGTTGTGTAAGAATTGCATATTAACATTATAGAAAGAACACAGCAGAATAAATTAGAAACCAATTTGTGGTTTCCTTGAAGTTGATAGTGTCTTAACTCTCTGCATCTTCTACCTATTTTAGTGGTCTGTCGGATCCTGCATTCAATGAATTGGTGACTTCCTTAAAGGACACCATTGTGAGGTAAGATAGACTCAAGACCCAAATGTGTTGTAATAACATGGGCGCTGCAGTGATTAACTCAACTTGATAGTTTTCAATGGAGAATAAATTTGATGAAAGTATCTAGAGAAGGGTTTTTTTTGTGTGTAGTAATATTTTATGACAGAAAGTGTCGCCATAAAAAGAGGAGATTCTTTGTCTTCCAGTTACATCACTGCTTCACTGCCATACTTTTGTAACTCTTGGAAGTCAAAGAACAAATTATTACTCCTAGCTAGGAAAAGATTGTCTTTGCCTGGATAGTGAAGTGGTAAATGGGTGATTTATCTTTGTTCTAAAATGAAGGTCTTTTCATTTTGTTATTAACTATTGTTTAGTTTGCTCTAAAGGGAAGCTTGGTGAAAATAATACCGTATTAGAACTAGGCATCTGATAGTAGGCTAAAGCATCCTTTCCCATCTGATTCAAATTCTTCTTTCTCTCTCATGGCTAAACATAATTCAGCATTATATCTGAACTAATCACCATGCAAATGAGAACGAACCTTAAGCATATTTGTTCTCATTAGCATATTAGGTTGATGCATGATTAAAGGCTGTAAGTGGCATGACAATGTGCAATTTGCTCCAGGAACAAGTGCAAACAACCATGGGCTCTTCCTCTTCTTAAGGTATCAGTAATATTATGCTAACATGAGAGAGAATAAAAATGTGTATTTATTTAAAACATGTATACACTGCTTCCTATGAAAAGGAATCCCCAAACAATTTACAATTAAAAATTACATTTGAAGTTAAAACATTAGGTTAAAGCAATTAACAAAAACAAAGATGTTTTTCAATAATATAATACAAAATAAAATCTGCAAAATAAACATTAAAATATTAATAGAGAATGCAAGCAGTAATAAAAGAATTAAAAATCACAGTAGGATTAAAGCATAAATTCTTGGAAAATAATAGTATTTACCTTGTGCCAAACGAGATGATAAATATGGCCCTGGGTTGAAGCGTATCCTGAGCAGGCCTTTCAAATATGATGTTATGGATAGGATACAATGGGAAGAGATGATTTTTCAGATTTTAAATTATAAATGGCTTTGTGACTGGAAAGAAACTGGAAGCCAGTGAAGACTATGAAGAACTTGAATATCATATTTATATTGCCTCATTGCCACAGTAGGTTTAACTGAAGTTTCTGAAGTGTATCCAAGGGCAGTTTATAATATAAGATACTGCAGTAATCTAGTGGAGCATTCTAGAGTCCTCTACATACCTATAGAAAGCAGATGACTCAGATGATGTTGGTTTTTGGATCCAGTTAATCATGGAGGTTATTCAGGTTATTCAGGCTTTTAATGAACAAAATGTACTTGTAATTGGAACAATTTCAATGCTGTGCCTTTTTCTCTGGAATCCCATTGTTTATTTGCTCTTCTTTTTCTGTTTTCTTTCTGTGAAGTACCAAGTGATATTAGACCATTGTTTTCTGTAGTTTCCCCCCCCCCCCCCAAAATCTGATATGGTATGTTTTATAAAGTAATTACTTGTCTAGCATGGACTAATAAAAGCTTTTGTGCTTTATAAGCATTTTCTATTTATAAATTTAGCCTATTCAATCATTCACTGAGTGTTTTAATGCCTTGATGTCGTTTTCTGTTCCTGCAAGGGAAAGAAGCTTTAAAGAATGCTTTCCTGTTAGTATTTATTTATTAATTTACTAAAATTTTACTTTAAAAAAACCCCATTGGTTAAAGTCTATTATAATCTTTCTAATAAAACAGAATGAAACTGGAAGCAAGAAGAGGTTATTCGGTTCATAATCTATATATCATGCATCCCAGAACCATGTTCATTAAGAAACTATAAAACTGACTGAACTTTTAAAGATGGAAGAAAATTCCATTTTGATTATAATAACCCCTCCAGCAGTTCAGAGTAGTTATGTGTTATATGTGAGATTGTTATAAGATCTTAAGATGGACTTCCTGTATTAAAGTAGGTAATAATTCTCCAGACCTCATGAGCATTGCACAACGTATCATCCAAGCACTTTCATAAATCTGACTCCCAAACTTGTTTAAAACTATGGATTAGCTCTGTCTGTTTCCAACACATGAAAATTGAATTAATTTTATTAGTCTTAGCTGAATGGAACTGATTTATGAACATCCCATGAGGACATGGAAGACAAAGTGTACAGTATTGATGGACCGTGTAGTGGTATATACAATTCTCAAGAGGCCTTTCTTTAAGGCTACTTCAAGTTAATGATAGCAAATGACAGCGCTAATGTCTCTGGTGCTGAAGCTAATTATAATCTATATTTTTAACAGGTTTTCAGCAGAGAATCAAGCTTGGGATGAACTACTTCTGTCTTACCAGAAAAAAATGGAAGACATATCCAGGTTAGAATATTGGCTGTCTTTATCATTAGATTATTCTGAAAGCAGGGTTACAAAGTCAAAGGCTATAAAATTTGTATCCTGTTATGCAATGGACAAAAACAGGAAAAAAAAGTGAGTATGGACAGGCCCACACATTTTACTTGCCACCTCACCCAAATATTGAAACTTTTTTTAAAAAAAATATTTCCAAATAATTCAGAGTTAGCAACTTGAGTGAAGGAGCAGTAAAATATGAACTGGTCAAAAGTTTGTTGATGCTACTGAAGGTTGCAGAACAGTTGAACTGAAATGGAAAGGAATAGTTGACATTGCTTTAGTGACTAGCTGCTAAGCAATAGTTAACCTTCATCTCACCAGGAAGGGAAGCTGGAAACTTCTAGAAGGGGAAGACAGGAGATTGGGGGCTGTTGAAGTTAAGAAGGCAGATCCAATTTTGAAGGTCGGGAAAGAGTTTAAACTAAGGAGCCAAGATAGAGATATAATTTGGTTAATGCTTGCTCAGAATTTTTCCTTATTTTATTAATTTTATAATTGTTCATTGAGGATTGAAGTCTCTAAGAGCTACACCAAGTTTGCTAACATACAACAAACTTGATAGTAATGTTGTACCAGTAAGGGGATTTGGCTTTTTTATCCTGTGGAGAAGTATTCCTTTCTCATCTCCCAAAAAGGTGAAGGAAGGTGAAGTCAGATATTGTTGGGAACTGATGGTTGGCATCTAGCTGAGAAAAAAGGGAGGACTGGGAACCCAGAATGAATGAATGAGGGTTGGTCCAAAATCTGACAATCACATACCCTGTAATAGTGAATTTACTGGCCATTAAGTACTATTGTGATCTTTTTTTATCTTCTAAGGCAGCTAGAGTCATGCGAGCTGAAACAAGCACCAGAGGAACCTTGCAGCTACCATGGGGCATCCCAAGCCCATGTACTTCAAGCCAAGCCAGATTATCAGAAAATACTGGATTGTCAAGCAGAAGTCTTTTATTGCCTAGAGGGAGTGGTGAGTGATGACATCAATTATTGTACCATTGTTTTGTTATTAACTAACATTAATTTAAAAAAGACAGCAAGGAATGCCAAAACAATGGTGCAATAATTAAGTGATGGAAAGAGCCTTGCATTGAAAGCATGCAGTTTTTTCCTCTGAGAATTTAAAACAATTCTCTTAAAGCAGTTCACTTAAAGCAGCATTTGTACTACATATATACATTATTTCTGTTCTTTTCCATCTCCCCCAAAATAGGCTAGTGATAATGCCAAGTTGGAAGACTTGATAATCTAAGTGACCAGGATTCCCCGCAATAGATTCTGTCAAATAAATTGATGGTTGAAATTACATCCAGAAAGTATCCATGTTAGCTTGCCATTCTACATGCTTCTGAAAAACGTAGAAACTGAAAACCTTATAACAGAAGTAGAATGATGATCAAACAGATTGTCGAGGTAGAAAGGCACTTGAACAATACATGTCAGGGAAGGAGGCAACATTTTTCCTGGGCATGAGGAACAGAGAATGAGGATGTGGGTAAAGCCATCCAAGTGACAGCATGGCTTGGAGATTTATATAATGATTAAGGATATGTCAGTAAAGAATCCCAAAGCAAATAATGTACTAGAATTAGAAATTATGTCAGGATTGACTAGGAGAGGCAGTACAAGGCCAAATAATAAACTTGGGAAGCTCCAATTATAAGGTAAACCCAAAATCTAGGAAGAATCTAGAATGCCAGTTAAAATGAAAAATAGATATATTTTTCTATTTCTTTATACTGAGGGTAAGAAATGAACACAGGATTCTAGATTTTTTTGTAAGCTGAATTAGAGATATTGTTTTAAGCTTGATATAACAGACAATAAACAGGTGGAGGAACAGGATATTAAAAAGGGTATTGCACAAGGAACAGGGACAGTCAAACAACAGCAACAAAAACCTAGTGAAAAATCTTATTTTCTCAGTTTTTAAAAGAACTGCTCTTTTTTTAACTATATATCACGTTCAGTAGTTCTACAATGATTGCTTTGTGCTGTTTCCTTATTTTTTTTCATTCTGTGCATTTCATAGATATTGTTGATTACTTGAATATTTTAAATAATTGAGAGTATCACTTTAAATGAGTTTCTTATTACATGTCTTTTCTGTGCTGGCTAGTTTGGGAAAAAACTAGGGATGGGAGATTGGCCATTCAGAATCTTGATGTAAAGAATGGCACACAATAAAAAGATAATTTATCCTGCTCTCTGTTCTGATTGGGTGAAGGAGTCAGATGATTGCAAGTGATAATGAGCTTCCAAAATAAAATGATAAATCTTTCAATCAGACCTTGCAGAGCTTAGAATGAAATTCTGGAAAGAAGCTACCAAGAGTCTAAGAAGGAGGGAACTTCTTAAACATTTTCCATTGTTTAATTGAACTCAGAAGTTCTGCTGAATGATGTACCCCAGTAATATTTAGTTTAGGTCAGGGGTGTCAAACGTCATTACGGCGGTGTCATGTGACTTCAGGACTTTTTTCCCCTTTGTTAAACTGGGCACAGGCGTGGCCAGCATGTGATGCATCAGGGCCATGGGCCGGGAGTTTGACAGCCTTGGTTTAGAATAATACAGGGAACTGGTCATTTAAATGGTCAGAATAGAATCCAAGTGATAGCTAACCTTTTTGGCACCGAGTGCCCAAAGTGCTCGCCCCCCCCCCCGCACATGCTTTCCACACCCGTGCATTTGCCCCCCTCATGCATGCGTGTGCACATGTGCCCCATCCCCATGCATGTGCCCCATCCCCATGTATGCGCAGCAGAGATCAGAAGACAAGCTGGCCAGTGTGAGGTGTGTGCACATGCATGGCAGAGCTGAGCCCACAGGGTTCTGCGTGCCACCTGTGGCATGCGCACTATAGGTGTGCCATCACGGGAATAGATCATCTGCTGGATTATCATCTTGTAAATAATGTTACTTTTCAGCTTGATGAAATCAGTCAGATAGTGAAAGTTTGTCAGACCTATGTGGAAGATACTACATTATATCTCCAGAAGCTATCAACACAACTTGGTAAGTCATAGAGTGGCTATTATTTTTGTGTAACCAAAACAAATTCTGATTGTTCAAGAGAGGTTAATTTGTTGTATGTAGCATACACATTCAGTCTGCGTGTAAGTCTAATTTCAGGTAACCAACATTGAGTTTCTGTTCTCCCACCCTACCAATTTATTTCAAGCTGTTTTTCAGCTCTATTGTTATGAGGTTTTAGGTTTTTAAATATCCCTATCACCAAGCAGTGGAAGTTAAATTCTATTTTTTATTTCAATAGTAAGGAAAATATTAAACTCATAGGATGTAATTGTATTAACTATTGGATTTTTTAAAATCATGACAACACATGAAACTTACTGTTTTACCCTGAAAAGTTGTTCTGGGTAATTGGGGAACTTTACAGAGCAGCACTGTATAAGACATTGTGACAGTGGTTTGGGCATTAGGAAAATCTCCTTTTCCTACATTGTATTTCTGGTTTCTGTAAAACAGAATTAGTTTTTTTGGTTTGTGATAAGATTACTCTGCGTCCAACCTGTAAATACCAGTATTGCTGATATTAATGCAATTCAGAAGTCATATTGATTTTATTCTTCATTAAGAGAAACTGCTGCATTACACATTGGAAAGATATGTTATATTAAACAAATTGTATGAAAAAGGTTAAATATATTTCAAGCTGATTTTACATTAGATATGAGTCATTTTTCTGAGAAGACATGTGCCTCAATTTATAGAGATTGTTTAGCAATTCATGCAACACCAACATGATGTGTTTCTTAGTTTTCTGCTTAAATACATCTTAGAAAACAAAATCACAATTTTAAACTTGTTTGTAGTTTTAACTATCATTTATTATGTCTGAATTCACAATTAACAGGCTGCAAAAATGGCATTTATCTTTCTATAAGTGTGGTTTATTAAATATTTTTATTATTTAACATCCTTAAAAAAAGAAACCAAAACGAAACAAACAATGCCTAATGAAGAATACAAACTGAGAAAAAGAGAAAAATATCTACCTTATATTTTATACTATCAATAGTCTCAGGTTTACCAATAAATTCAATACTATAATATAATCAGTACATAATATTGTTGTAAAATATCAGAAAATCTCTCCTGTAATAGTAAACATTGCTGTATTCTTTGATTAGTAGAAAATGCTGCCTTCTTCAAAACAAACAGGTCACATTTCCAACAACTCTCCTTAATATCTGCAATAATTGCCCCAACAATCTGGGTCCTCATGGCATGAGAATCTGGAATTAATATGATATTCTTTCTATTTCAGCCTCAAGAACTTTCCTGAGATTAGAGAAATCACCAGCCCGAAAACTTCTCAGGCTTCTCCAGACAAAACCATCTGTACTGCCACCTCCAAAAGATTAAAGGAAGTTTCATTCTATGTTTGAGCTTATTTTTCTCCATGCTACAATGAACATTTGGTGAATAATGGACAAGCGTATAAAAATCTTGCAGTATTTTTAGCTGCTTTGTCTTGTGTACTGTCTTCAATATTCTGATGCTATTCAGAAATAAATGTTATACTCCTTGATGTGAAAATCAATCCCCACATAGGCAAATACCGATAAAAGATAGCGTTGATTTCCAAGTGGAATGATTTAAGTTTTCTGGAATCCCATGCTATGGTATATTCTCTTTCAACCCCTGAAACAGGAATTTCGTGGGGGTGGGGGTGCAGAGTTTAAGAAGAATAGGTACCCATGCATCCATGTTTTGCACATTTAATATGCAATAAAGAGTAGCGGAGGGTGCGATACTCAATTCCTGTGGATTTCCTATGTGGCATAATCTTCACATAGCGGTTTTCTTTTTAGTCACCATAATTATCTAGGACTTGCCTGCATAACTTGAAGAAGAAATCAAACATCTAAACGGGCTCCCCTTAAACTTGCTGGTGCCTCCCTCTAGCATTCGATGGGTCAGTAAAGTTACAGAGCTCAACTCCGGAATATTTGCTTTGGCGCACCCCTTCCCAAATTCAAAGGGAGACCTAAGAGCGAGCGTGCAAGGTGCGTGCGCATAAACGTTATCCTGGTTTCGTGACGAAGAGAAAACAAACAAGCAAGCGCAAAGTTTCCATTGGATGGTCCTGCAGAAGTGGTTCGCCAATCAGAGCAGACTCCGTTATAAACGTGGAGCCTCACGTCTGTTCTGAGAGGCGGGTCGAAAAAACTCGAGAGGACTTTCGTTCTTGTTTCGCCTCCCGCGACCGGGTGGACTTCGCTGTTCGCTGACGGGGTCTCCCTCCCCCCACTTCTTTTAGGTCTTCCTGTATCCGAAACCGTCTTAGAGCTGGCATGACCACTCCGCTCACCGGGCTGGGTTGGACGTCGTCTAATGTGCCGGTTGCTGGCTGGATTCCGGTGAGAAAAGCAGCTTCGTCTCCTTGCCTTAGCAGCGCCCCGTCTCTGAGGGCAACCTCTCTTCCCGGCGGGGAGAGTGAAGGCGAGGCGAGGCTTGCCGTCTTTCTTTCCTTTAAGGGAGGCTCAAAGGAAAAGGAGAGAAGCTAATTCCGACCAATTGGCTTTACCTTGCTGGCCCTTCTCACCCCTCCGGCTTTCGATTTCCCTGTTCTGCCTGCCTCTTGCTTTAAAAATGGGCTGTGGGGCGGGAAGACGGAAGAGTTTTACTGAAGTCGGAAGCTTGAGTGGAGATTTCCACACCCAGAAATGCGAGTTTTTGTTACTGCTTAGTACAAAAAGGGGAAAGCGCCCCTGAGCCAAACCAGTAACATTTGTTGTACGCTGAAGGTTATGCAACGTTTTACAGCGGGGCTTCTCAAACTTTGCGATAAGGGGACTCCATGAAACGATAAATTTGCGTGAACCCCTTTCCCGATGAATGAAGCTAAATAATAAACCAACTACCTGTGATTGGTAATGGTTCCATTCCTGTTAAGATACAGACCGGTTTCTGGGTCAGAAATAGCCTTGGTTACTTCAGTCGGTTGCCTTTGCCCATAGTTTAAGTGCCCCCATGCTCTTGGTGGACATTTTAGTGGGTTTTTCTTTCTATCTGTCTGTCTATATCTATCCATCCATCCGTATCTGTCTGTCTTCTCTCTCTCTCTCTCTTTCTCTCCCTCCCTCCCTCCCTCCCATCCACCCACCCATCTATCTATCTATCTATCTATCTATCTATCTATCTATCTATCTATCTATCTTACCTATTTAGCACATCTATCACATCTATATTGCATCTCTCTATCCAGCCACCTATCTATCCACCCACCCCACCCCACACTTTTTATGCATTCGGGGCCATCTACAAGAGCTGGGTGCTAACTGAGAGGATTGCCGCAGTCCTTATAGAGAGTTGCAGCCCTTGGATCCTTCAGGATGGGGTGTCACATGGTTAGCGCTCGCCCGGATATTACATATAGACCGCTGGGCGAAATCTTTTTAACAGGAATGAAATGTCAGCTCACCAACAACATTCAGCTGTTTGCCATGTTCCAAGACTGAGCCAGGGGTGTTACACCAAACCCTTAATCGTGCATGGAAGCCGCTAGGATTTGAATGGGACATGTCAAACACTAACGCTGCAGAGAATGAGTTGCTGTAATATAATTACTGCCTGATAAATATTGGATTTAGTAATCAGATCCAATTAGGGCTATTGTAATGCCCTCTAAATGAGGCAATTTATGGAGGCAGTCCGGAAGCTGCAATTGGTCTAGAATGTGATGGCAATATTGTGAATGGATCAGTGCAGCCATTGCAGGAGAACTTTTTTTTTTGGAGCTGTTAAGCTACCTAGAGTAGTAGTATGCTTTCAGTCTTAATTCAAAATACTGGTAATCATGTACAAAGGTGTGGCTTTGGGATACATTAGACACCTCTTACTAAAGTTGAATTTGCCCATCCAGTAGTATCATTTCATAATGATGACTCCTACTGGGAGTCATTATCCCATGTGAAGTCCATGGACCTTGGCAGCTCTTTTGCATACAGAGAGTGCATCAGTTAATAGTCATACTGTATAACCATCTGACAGGCCCTACTGTACCACAGGATCACTAAGCTCATTAAACAAAACCGTGTTTGGGGGGTCTTTTGGAAGGCCAACAGGCCTCCCCTGCAGAGAAAGGACGTTCCACAGGATGGGGGCTGTGGCAAAAAGGCTTTCTTCATAGATCCTGTCAGATTTTATTTTGTTAAATTTATTTGCTGCCTCTCTTGCCACGGGGTTGGAATTCCCTAGCTGACAAGACTAATAATATGCCTCTCAAGCCAAACTCAATGGGACAGATAGATGTCAATGGGGAGAAGTGATCCTTCAAATATGTTCAGGAGTTGGGGTAAGTTGGGAAGTGGCAGAGAAGAAATTGGGCAAGATTGGTGGTAAAAACAAAATCAAGGGTTTGGAAAATTAAGAATTCATTTTAGAAAAAAATTAAAGGGGATAATTAGGAAGTTAAGACTTTCACCAAAGAAGTCAGAATAATAAGCAAATTAAGGAGGAAAATTAAAGCCTCATTGCAGGTTTTAAAACATTTTCAAAAACCCTATAATTTTAGGCATTAGAATATTGTTTTATCCCAAATAATTATTATCTCTCTATGTTCAGTAAAAACCATTTATTGCTGAAAACGTATCAGTTGGAGTTCTAGTTCTGAGCATCCTGATATTGGAAAAGGAAATCTTGTAAATGGGAAAAAATTGCTACTGGACAGGCTTAGCTGTGTCAGACAAGGTACATAGGTGTACAAGGTAGGTAGATAGGTAGGTAGGACTTTGCAATGTCGCTGAAAGGTGGCAGTGAGGAACAGATTCTAGAAGTAGGAGACATCTGATCCCTGGGGGTAATTATTTGAAAGCATTGGTAATGATATATTGGTGAGGAATTATATCTGATGTTTTTATTAGTTATCAGTCTCCACAGGAATGGGAATACGCTACAAGCTCCAAACTGGTTTGCTTGTATTTAATGCTAAGTACTTTGGTTCTTTACTTCGCTACTATCTAATGTCCTCAGTTTGTTCCACTTTTTTATTAGCTACCTGCCCTACCCTGTTTTCATATATTGCATCTGCTTACAATGTGCTGTTTAATAGGAAACCTCTGTTGGTGAAATCAGTGGGTGAATTTCTGGATATTTCTTTAAACAATGAATGATACAGATCCTAATATTTAATTGTAGAATTTGTTTCATCTCTTTGTATGTGTATATGTGCATATACTTTTTAACAAGCAAATCAAGCCTTTCAACAATTCAAACATTAAAAATATTTTCAGAAGAAATCTGTATGAGGTTAATCTTTTCTGATAAACCTAAACTGAAACCCATGCATGTTTTGTTACATTTTCTTCAACTGTTATAACTCAGTCCCAAAATGTCCAAAATCTGTTGCTATATTCTGAACACTTGGAATTGTTCAGAATATTTCCATATGTGAAGTTGGGGACATGTCAACATAACATAAATCAGTGGCAAATTACATACTTTGTGTACATGAAGATTCAGGTTTAGTTTCATGTATCTCTAAGAAATACAGGTAATCCTCGGGTTACGAGCACTCCCTTAGCGAATGTTCAAAGTTATGCGATAAGTGCCTCCTACAGTTTACGAACAAGCCTTGAAACTACAAATGTTGCAGCACCGTGGCAGTTGTTCACCCTTATGAACGATGGCAGAGGCTCGTTCAGCCTGCCTATACCCCACACCCCCAGCATGCCGGGTCTTCATAGGCACTGGGCCTGTGGATACTGTACTCACTTTGCGAAGATCTAGAAATCCTTTGCTTTCTTGGCCTGTTTTGGTGCTTCAGGCCTTCGGTGAGTAGGCAGAGAATGGAGGCCTAAAGTACTGCAAGATCACATGAGATCAGTAGCGCAAGATCTCACGCTATTGATCTCTCGTGATCTGAGGGTACTTTAGGCTTCTGTTTTTGGCAAACAGAGGCCTGGATGAGACCTGCAGCAAAAGGCTTTGCAAATGGAGGGAAGGCCTGAAACATCAAAGCTTTCCCTTCGTTTACAAAGCCTTTTGCCATTTTTGCAAAAGCCTTTGCAGCCCAAAACAGCTCCAGGAGCTCCAGAGAGATGCACACAGCTGAGAGGCTGGAGAGGATACAGCTTGCTAGATCTTTGCACAGTAAGCGACCCGGAGTGACAGGTTGGGGGTGGGGGGGAGCAATTGTAGGGAGCATGAGGTATTTCAGTGGGTCAGGGAGGCCTTGAATGGACTTAAGCAAGATGTCGGGGTTCCAAGTAATAGATCCATAGCAAACAAAACTCTGAGGCAGGTAGATTCCTCAAAGAATCATTTTATTGGATATATCATATTAGCACAGATCTGGTGAAAACCGTCTCTGAACACTTCCATGGTATTCACCTAATTAAAAGTAAAAGTTTGTCACTTTCTCAAAACAATCAGTCAGATGGCCCAATCATGGTGAAGTCTGGTTGCCGGGTGACATCACTCTGAGCTTCCACCGACCGGGTGTGAGAATGTCCTTGGTTTCCAAGAGAAAGTATTTTGGTTTGGCTACAGAATCCCAACTATCTCAAATCCTCCCCTCTGTATCCCTCAGCTCCAGTGTGGCAACATTGAAGCTGTCAAAATGGCTTTGGTCAAGTCAGCTTCAGGGTTGACACAAGTGGACTATTCCATCACTAGGTCCCCCATGACCTTCCCTACCCTGAAATACCTAATGTGCACTTAACGAACTGTGCATTCGATTAGCGAATGCATGGGCAAAAGGGTGTGATCACGTTTAAAGTAGGAGATTCACTCCCATGAATTACAAATGGTTACAAATGGAATGGGCAGGCTACCTGTATTGGGAGAATTCTTGCTTGTGATTTTTTCCTCGCTTCATAAAAGTCTGTTCCCCCCTCATTTTTCTTAGATCACAACAACTGTGGAAGGAGCACCTGCTAACTTTGGAAAAGGATTTGCACAAAAATATGGATATTACCTCTGCTTTACTGCATCTCTAGATACTTTGGTAAGAAGGACACTTTGGTAAGAAGGACGAAATTGAGGTTAGGTGCAGATAGTGTGGTTGGTGACTGTTTTGGAATCTGCTTCTTTCCAGAATCCAGCTGGAGATATATTATATGATGTGGTAATCCTGAGTGAGAAATCGCCACTACCTTCTGGATATATGTATGCTAAAGAGTTTCTGGATCTAAGTGAGTCTGCCTGGCTATTTGGCTCATTTTATTCTGTTTTGTTTTAAACCTAGAGCAGTTTAATATCTCTTCTCCTAAACAGTGGCACGTAGCTTAGGGAAGTGCCATGTGCAATCACAACAACTAACCTGTAGCACTAACTACTGGATTTTGCAAATTACAGTTATTATAAACATGGAAAATCATGACTGAAGTCTCAGAAAGAAAATTTAAAATGAATGTGACCTACAAATAATTTCTAATGGGTTTTATTTCCATTTTCTAATAAAAGAGGCTATAATGGCTGTGGTTGTTATTATGCTTCTGTTCCTTACAGTGAGAGGTGCCCGTCTGTTTGTACATATTTGTGCTAGCTTCCATTACAGGTATTCCTTGATTTACGACCATAATTTTATAACCATTAAAAGTTAGAGCGGCCACCAAATGCTCATTTGGTGGCCGCTCTAACTTTTAAAGGTTATAAAATAATATGACTGTGATTTACAATGTTTTTTGCCAGTTTCTGGCAAAAAAACACGCATTCATATGAATGGATTTGTTTAATATCAGTCCTAAAAGAGGCCAGAAAACTACTTAGAGTCATGTGGGTGCCTTGATTTACAATTGTAGCAGTTTGCGACCAGTTTTCCAGTCCCAATTACCATTGTAAGTTGAGAACTACCTGTGTGAGAGGTTATGGATTCAGTTTCCCTTTTCTACCATTCCCAGTTGCTGTGATAAAGCGACATTTTGTATTGCCACTGGATTTTTCTTCTTCTGTTATAATGGTGAATTGTACAAGTGAACATAATGCCCAAATCTATTTCCGATGTAACTTTGTGATTGGGGCAAACTGTCAAATTTCACAATTGTGGCAAACATTCATTAATCTTTATTTCTTAGGAGATTGATTTTGTATGCAAAAAATGCAAAAACTTATGTGCCGTATGCTAATTGAATACTTACTAAACATACATAGTTATGTGTAATTTATTTTCATGTAAATGTATAGAAAAAATAGGGAATTAAGTATATTTAATTAAATGTAGCTTACCATGTGATTATTATGTAGTTGAAATTTCTTTATAGTGATTCCTAGCAAAAAACAATCTTATCCAAAAAATCAAACCAATCGATGGATAACTATTATAGGAATATTATTTTATAATTCATGTGCTAAATTCTATAGTATTTGAAAATGAAGTTTGCTAGTCCATATTTAGATACATTTTGTTCTGTTCCTGAATCATTTCCATAAAACCAGTTTGGAAGAGCCCTTGAATCTTCAAGTGTTGCTGGTGCATATGTATGCATGCATGCATCTTCCATATGTATAGCGTTTTATAATAGGTTTGGCTGGTCTTTGTCATTAGAGAAACGTATGTGCATCATGTGAAAACAATTTGCTTTAAATATTCTGCATTGGACATTTATATTGGTAAATTTTCAAATAATTTGCTATTTTTATTAAGAGTAGGTTTGCAGGACCTTCTTAGGTGGCCCTTAGAGCCCCATAAACACACTTTTGACAAAAAATATGCACACATTCAACAACAAAACCTTTATCATGATGGAATGATTTTTAAAGTTTCTCTTTATAAGCAGTCCTCAACTTAGGACCATATTTAAGTCTGGAAGATCTGTTAATCAGTGTAAGTGAGGCATCTGGTGACTGCACCCAATTTTATGACTTTTTTACAGTCATTAAGCAAACCGTCATGGTCATTAAGCAAACTATCACATGACCATTATTTCTGACCTACCTTGCCAGCTTTCCCATTACTTGTCAGAAGATGACTAGGAGGTGAATCACATGAACTCTGTATTGTTGGAACTGTTGTAAATTTAAGCCAGTTGCCAAGTATCCACATTGTGATCATGTGATCCCCAGGGAGCTGCAACCATTGTTAAGTATGAGGAACAGTCATCAATAGTTTCTTTCAGCACCATCATAACTTTGGTAGCTATACAAATGGTTATAAGTCAAGGGCTATCTCTAAGTAAGAAACATTTAGAGTAGAGGCCTCTATTTTACTGAATCCATCAGAAAGTAAGCCAAAACATCTTCCTACTGTGTTCCCATGACCATTGCAGGATATTGTTAATTTTTAAAATGCATTCCCCCACTGCAAAAAGGTTTTCCATCTTAATTTAGAGCATCTGATTTACGTATATACACATTTGGAAATGACATGGAAACAGATGTAAAATAGCCTTCATGGAATAATGTACGGATTTTCTACATTAAATGAAGTTGGGTTCAACCATTATCAATCAAAAATGTTTAGCTTATACCTGGGCCTTTCTTGAATGCATACAGTGATTTTCCTGCTTCTGAAGGTAGAATGCCTGTCATTCCAATGTCCTTTGATTGCAGCCTTATTTTTCTGCCTCCTATTGTAGAAACCTCCGTCTCCAAGAAGAAGAGGCTATGTGTCAAGCTGATACCAATGGGTGTGGCAGAAACGGCTGTGTATGACGTCACACTAAGCAGCAAGAGCAAAGTGATCCCCAATTACATACGCATTGGGTGAGGTGCTAGTATCCATGTCCTCTGCTCTTAACACATTGTCACAGCTTGGAAAGACTTAAACAATTTTTATTTGTATTCCTCCCACCTAGGGAAATAAGTAGTTTTGCCCTTTGGTGTAAAAAGGAACACATAAACAAGCCTAAACCTCTTCCCAAACCAAGGAGCCTCAGTCTCGAAATGAAACAGCTTTCATTAGAAACAGCAAAGTAAGTTTTGATCATTTTTCATTATATAATAGAACATATACATTTTGATGTTATTTGTCATGTTTTTTCAGTAATCTGTATTTTTTTTTAAAAAAAAGCAAAAACATTATGCCATGTAATGACACTGTTGGCCGCTTCCAATAGTTTATCTATCACTCAGACTAGTTATAAACCAATCAGGCAAAAAGCAGTTTGAGTGAGTTTGTAGGGCTAAAGAAAAAGGCCTAGAAAAAAGATTGACGATAGCAGAATCAGAAAGACGGGATCTGAAGCAATGTTGAGAAGAGATTTCTTAACATTAAGACTTTTCCTAGGATTGTTGTGATTGCACCTCAGAATGCTAGATGAATTCTGAAGAAATAAATGAAGAAATAAATAAGCAGTGTTTGTCTACTTCTGAAAGTACCCATGTTAGAATTTTTCTTAGATTAAACAAAGAGAATGGATTATAATGCGGAGAAACTAGATATTCTGTTTAGAAAAGTGAGGATAATTTTACATGGTGTACTAGGTTAAAAGTTAGTGAAACTAACACTCATGAGTTAAATTAATTAAACCTCATGTCATACCTTGGATGAAGACAAGGACAAGCCCTGATATACTAGCTGTGTAAAAGTGGCAGCAGTTAATTGACCCATAAAAATATGTTCAGTAAAATGTTAACCCCTAACATCAATAATTCCAGCTTCGTGCAAGAAGGCACGGAGGATTTTAGCTCCAGGAAAGCAGGCACAAAGGATTTCAGTTCTATGCAAGCATGCTGGAGCCAAAATCCTTCGGCAGCGTCCATGGGAGCTCCCATGATGTGAGGCACTTGGTAGTCAGTTAAAGGTGCGAACATGTTACCAAACACCCAGGTTGCGATCACATGATTGGAGTGTGTGTGTGTGTGTGTGTGTGTGTGTCTCTCTGAGTGGTGTGATGTTTGTAACAGTTGGAACTGCTTTACAGACTGTAAAACTCTCTAAGAACTTTGTTAATTCAAACTGTCATTAAGCAAACAAAATCAAAGAACTATCCGTTCTATTGCATGTCCCATTGTGTTTAATGGCTCTTATTGCTAATATGATTAGGACTTCTGTTTCTGTTGAGTCATCATCTTAGTTTCACCATATATTCATTGGCCCCACATGTTATATTATCTCCAGTAAACTTGCTTATTTACTGATTTAACAATGATGTTTACAACCCTAATTCACATGAATAGCCTACATGGCAGAAGAAAACTGTCTATGGCAAGGACTGAAACTGATCCTGGAGAGTGACAAAAGAAGGGGAAGGTTGCAAGGAGTTCTGATTTAAGGCCACTCCTTTAACAATGGTGTGGAATTATGATGGCCTCCAAAAAGTGCTTTATTGCCTGTAATGAACTTCTGGCCATTACTAAATGTTGCGCCATCACTCCTATGGTCACATGATTACAATCTGGCTCCTCTGTCTTTACAACCACATTCTCAGTGCATGCAAAGTAATCTCTCATACCAAAGATAGTACTTTGTGGAGAAAACCCATCTTTTCTGATGAATACAGGGACCAGTAATTATTCTGGCTCTGTCATGATTGTCTAAGTATCAGAAGTGCATTATTCTATGTGTGTGTGTGTGTACAATACAATGCTTCACTTTTTGTTATTTTTAATTGTTTTAATTTTTGTACTGTGCAATTATTACCTTCCTCAGGAAGAACAATGTTTACAATTATTTCTAGAGCAAAGGTGGTTTTTTTTTTGAAATGCTGCAAGTACCTATGAAAGCTAATAGAGATTCTGGGGAATGATTGAAACAATAATTCATTATCTACTTAGAGACCATGTGTGTTTCTTCATTTTAATCCTTTCAGTGTAAACTCTCTATCTATTGGTTCCAAAAGGCAAACTACCATTAAGAAAAATGAATCTATATATGATACGTCAAATGCCTGTGGTATTTCAGGTAAGTACCTTCTGTTTAAGGAAGTGAAGCATATTCTGCTTTTATGGGAGAAAGAGCCATAGAACTGAACTTCAAGAAAAGTTCCAGTGGATTCTTGAAATTTGGCATGATTCATCGCATACGTCTTTTTATAATTAAGGCAAAATGTGAACTTTTGTTATATATAGCCCAGTAATATGATGGCTGCTTTGTTTACATTTGTCAGGACAGAACTGATGCCATGGTTAAAGATTAATATATCTTCACAGGAAGGAGATGTTGTTTTTTGCCTCCAGGAGGAAAGCCGTTTTGAAATTGGGAGTCCTTTTAACTCTAGACCTATCTGGATTATATTATCAAGAATCAGAATATAGGACGGAGAGGGCAGGTGTGTTGGCTAATCTTCTAGAATACCTGAAAAGACATCTTTGGCCATTCAACTACAACAATTCCATTATTGGATGTGGGTCATTATTCTGAAGTCACACAAGAACTTTATTTGATTTTATTTAATGAAAGGAATATGTAAAACCTACTGTCTTAGACTTGGAATATTCCATTCTGTCTCTGTGGTTTACAGTGAACTAGCCATTTGAGAGATGGTCTTCAGTTTTTCAGAAACCAATTTTTAAAACTGGTTTTCTGGTGTCTAGAATGTGATTTGGCCCTCATCTAGGCTTGTTTCAGCTGGCACACCATGCCTGCTTTTACTTCAGATTAATTTCTGGAAAGCTACTGGACCATTCCTAAAATGTGAACTAGAAAAGGATAAACTTGGGCATGTTTTTATACATGCTTTAGCATATGAAGCTCCTGGAAATTTATTTGGAATTAGGTGCTTTTAATGTGCTTAAAGTTTTTATCTGTTCAAATTTAATAGGGTCCTAGATTAAAGTGAACAAAGTAAAATTAAATCCAGACCAGAATGATCATTAGTATGGGAGGTGGGATGCAATGTGTTCTGGGAGAAGTTGCATCCTTTGAAAGGTCAAGTTTGAAACTTTATTGTGCTTTTTTAATTTTGCATTACCCCTGATTTTTCTCATAGCGATGCTGACACCAGCCTCAGCCTTTCTTGAGGCAGTCGACCTTGTAAGAGGTCAGTTTTAAGGATGACAGCTTGATTAGTGGAACATGACATAGGAATAGAACATTGAAAAAACCTGCACTAATTGTCAAGTATTCTCTTGGACTATTAAAGTATTTCTTGACCTACAACCAAAATTTCTGTTGCTAAGTGAGAAAGTTGTTAAGCATTAAGAATTTTGTCCCGTTTTATGACCTTTCTTGCCATGGTTGTGAAGTGAGTCCCTGCAGTTGTTAAGTTAGTAGCATGGTTAAGTGAATCTGGGTTTTCCCATGGAACTTGCTTGTCAGAAGGTTGCAAAAGATGATCATATGACCCAAGGATTGCAATTGTGGTAAATATTAGTTGCCAAGCATCCAAATTTTGATCACGTGACCATGAAGATGCCAGTGCCACAATGGTCATAAGTGTAAAAACTGTAAGTAACTTTTTTCAGTACCATTGCAACTTTGATCACTAAATAAATGGTTGTAATTTGAGGACTACTTGTATTCTTGGAGTTGCCTGTTTTGCAGCTTTCTGGAATTCTATTGAAATGAGGCTGCAGATAGTGATGCAACTTCCTACATTTTGTGCATCAATTATTGTACTTAGATATCCATCCTGGGAATTATGTCACGTTTTCTAAGTACTGGCGGAGTGCCCTCTTGAAAACATTACTTTTGCAGTGATTTCTTGTACAGTATAGGAGAAAGAACTTCTGTGTTGCTTTTTCTTGGGTTTAGAAAATCTATGGAGGTATTTCTGTAAAGTGGGTATTTGAATTATAATATTTTGTTGCATTTTATATAACATTTTAAACCATTTACCATTGTAACAAGTTTTTAACCTTTCACTACAGTATTATGATTTGTTGTATGCCACCTTGATGACCCGTAAATAATCACTCACTTTAAAATATTGTTACTTTTCCCTTGGGCAATCTGAACCTGAGTGTTTTGTTTCCTCCTTAGCCATAGATGGAGTCCCTTTTACTCTGCATCCTAAGTTTGAGAACAATGTCACTCGTGGTAACACTGTAAGTATTTTCTGTTGGAGTCATGTAACAGTGTAAAGGACAAAATAGATGAAACTATAGGTTTTTCTAGAACACATATCTCTTCTTTCCTAATGCAACATTCATTATTCTGGAAATGAAACTGCCAAAAAAAAAAAATCTCTCAGGGCCATGTCATTCCAGAACTGAGTCCACTTCTAGAGAGAGATCTCCAAACTGGAAGTAGCTTGAAGGTGTTCCAGATATGTATGGAAATCACCCCAGTGGTATAATCTTGAATTCCATTCCAGATTGTTAAATGTCTGGCTTTCTCCAACTGACTTGAAACTACTATTCATAATATTCCCAGCCAGTATGGTATCAGTGGTCTTGGCACAGATGGTATATTATATGAAAAAAAATCCAATAAATACAATTTAAAAGAATGATTGGTTGATGAAACAGATAATGTATTGGGGAAAACATAGTGCAACCTATGTCAGGTGGAGTGCTGATAGCTGTCAAATTACTTTTACTTTTTAAAAACGTACCAGAAGACTTCAGTGACCTTTCTCTCACCTAATTCAAATAAATGTTGCTAATGAGAAACATGTTTTCCTGTAGCTGTTTTGGAGTAACTAAGAATTGTAAGAATGGAAGGACCATAGAACCTACTTAGTGGAGAAATTAGTTTAAGGTTTAGCAATATTGTTAGGAATAACTTCTATAAATTACAGTCTAGATTAATTGGCTGATTGTGGGTTATTATTTGTGTTTATTTTCTAGGTACTTTCTATATTTAAAAACTTCCACATCAAATCTCTTGCTGATATTGAGAAAGAGGTGAGCAATTTTCTTTAGCAAAGTCAAATGCGTTGTTTCCTTACAAACATATATTCATGTATTATAGCTGAGCTGCGACTCCTTCTGGTTTTGAATATGGAGATCTTGCTTTTTTTGTAACCGTATTTTTTGCTTTTGTACAGTATGACTACAGTTTTGTAGTTGAAAGAAATGCAGCTGCGAGACTCCCACCCACCATTTCATAGCCTCAGTCATTTCCTTGAGAGTTCTTGCCACTAAGGTGGTGAAGCTGACTCAACTGAGTGGATGAAGTGCCTGCCTCAAAGGGATTGTGCTGTTGGGGGCACTGCTTTACTAGCTGAAACTGGTATAATCATAATCCTGCTGATACTATATTTTACTATAGGTACGAGTAGAACTACTTTTGTACATACTTTTTTTAAGCAACATATCTACTTTCTTTGCAAAAAAAAAAAAAAAGTTTAAAAATAAGAGGCTTATTCTACCAGAAAAGTTATATCTGTGCTTATTTCTGGCCATTTCAAACTTTCTGAAACATGTATTCCTGCCAATAAAGTATGTTCATGAAAAATGAAATATATTTCTCCACAACAACCTTCTTTAGGCCGATCTCTGTTTAAAGAATTGCAAATATGACCATCTCGGCAAGATTTCATATGGGGAGGTAAGAACTAAGGATATGTGAAATCAAAGAAAAAACATTCCTGCATATTCCAAAATGCACTGATTGCCATTTTATTATCAAATCTCATGACCACCTTTCTAGGAGGAGTGAAGAGGCAGTACAAAGGTTAACAACTGCTGCTCTGTTTGGCAGACACGTGAAGATTAATGTAGGCCCTTGCATAACTTTTGTTGTGGTTTCCAGACTTAACACAATAAAAATCTGCTTGCCAGTCCCCAATTGGAATAAAACAGCTATCAAAGAATAAATATTCCTTTTGTAGTGCTGTATTTCAGTGGTGTCTCTTTCTGGCTGTCCTTCACTTCACTTCTGCCAAGGGAGAAGAATGAGTCTCAAGAAGGCACTTTGAGCTTTGTGCTGCCTAATAGGAACTGCAGGATCCAGTCTATGAGCAGAGCAATGAAGAAGTTGGTCACCAGAACTCCAGTGATCACTAGTTTAAACTGAAATAGAAAAATAAACAAGATGTACCAAGAAAGTCCCAAAAAACATTTTTCATATTGCATTCAAATCTAGTATGTATCTACCTACGTATCTAGTACGTATGAAAACTCTTCTATAATCTTGAAATAAAGATGGGAGCTGATCTTGCTGCTTAATGTGATACCAAAATCCAGTAAACAAGGAATTTAGTAAGCTGGTCATCTGTCCCACTCATAAATTTACTAAGAAATCCATTATTGGTAACTATAAGCATACAGCTACAACCTTCCTTTGGTTATATTTTTTTAAAACTCATATGTTGCACAGAAAATTAAGTTTTAAAAATAATTTAGCCAAAGGCCGTTAGGCAATAAAAGATTTCTAAATTTTTCCAATTATACCTTCTACAATTATTGCTGTTCACTACATTGCAAAGCCTGCAGCTTCTATTCCAAAACACCTGGAGGCTGCTTAGACTTGATCTTACTATATGCGCCTGAGTAATTTTCAGTTCTTTCTCGCAAACACATCTTACCTTGCCTCAATTATCATTTGCCCTGAACAAAAGCAAAAAATAAGCCTTTTTTGGGGGGGGGAGGGGGGGTCTCCCAAGTCCCTGCATCAAATAAACATTTTTCTAAGACCAGTATAACCAAGCAACAGCTGCAATAGCTTACTGAATCATAACACAGTGGACCTTTTAGTCCTCCAAGACTACTTTGCATTTGCTGGAAGTAAAGAACTCCTTAAAACACCTACAATTCAAAAAAGTTTGAAGTTCTCAAACCCAGTGTTAACAGTATATAGTTTTTTCCCACTTTAATTTCTACAGCTAGCTGGAAAAAAGGGATATTGGGGGATATGCTTAACAAAAGTCTTGCTTACTCACCTCTGTTGGGATTTCCACAAGTCCAAACTGTTCATTGAACTCTGGGGAGGAGCCAGTCAAAAGGACGACAATTGCTAATCCTGAAATAATGATGCTCCATAGCAGAGGTTTGTTTTCCCTTAGGCTTTCCATGAATGGGTGGCCCTAGATAAATAAAACCAAGGTATGGAAAGAAGGCCAAACCATATCAGTAATTTAGGAGTAGAAACAACATACTAATAAAAGCTTGTTTATTTTACTGCTGATCAAGATAACAATTCCTTTGGCAAGACTCTTCTTACACTACTAATGGGTGTTTCACGTCATAATGCTGTGGCTACGTGCAGGGGTGGGATCAGACAGGGTTAACTACACCTGACTTACAAGGTTTGGTGATTTACCATGTACTTCCCTGCACACACCTGTAAATCGTCATCAGCCTGGTGCCTGGACAGCTGAGCAGTGCTGAGTGCAGAGAAGTAGCATTTGAAAAAGCCCTTTTTTTCCTGCTTTTTTAACTGCAGCTGTGCCTTGCACGGCAGCTGAAGTTGAAAATGCAGTTAATAAAGGTCAGGTAAGAGCCTGGGCAGGCAGGTGGGCAAAAACATCAGCAGACATAGAACCTGTTCTATGTCTGCTGCTCTTCAGAATTACCGGTTCTACAGAGGTGGACAGAATCGGTAGAAACCCATCCTTGGCTACGTGTGACAACAGCCTCACTTTTGCTGTGAGCTTTATTATGACAGATGGGAGCACATTTTTTGCTTATAGGTGAAAGTGCAAGTTTGGATCCAACCTACCTTAGTCAAATAGGACTGAGAAATTGCTAAAAGAGCCTGGCACCTTCGATCTCCTTTCATGACTAGGTGGGAGTTCTATAAAAGCTCAAAAGTTCATTATGTATGCAACTTCCATCAGGGCCACCTACTTATAATGAACTCTTTATTCATAATCATTCCACTTAAGAAAGGACAATGTACCTTAACATTCTAAAATTGGACCTGATCCCAGTTTCCACAAATAACTATTTGTTTAATTGATCTTGCTACCCTTCTTGTATAAATGATTTTGGATGGCCAACAATCAAAATGCACTAAATCAGCAGCCAAAACCATTAACTTTCAAACTACAAAATGGGCTCATCCATATGATCTATATCAGGTGTGTCAAAGCTGGATTTCTTCGAGGGCCGGATCAGCATGGGAGTTCTTGTCCATGGGCTGGCCGGAGAGGAGAGATGGGGTGGACGCCTCTCCTGCAACACCCTGCCAACCAAAATAGCCCCCCTGTCCCACATTTTGGCTGGAAGGATGCTGGAGACTGTCCAGGCTGAAAATGGGATTCCATTTTCCTAGCAGAGGCACTCCAGTCCGTTGCTATTTCCAGGCTGGCCTCGTGGGCCAGATTTAAGCCCCCCCGTGGGCCGGATCCGGCCTTGAATTTGACACCCCTGATCTATACCAGTAGTCATATTTCTCATTGTTCCGCATGGCATAATCAGACATTTGTAGTTTTTCCTCTTATGTCCTGTTAAAATTTGGTTTCATCATAGCACCTACTGCTTTGCATATCACTTGCAATGCAAGACCTGAAATGCAGCATCAGGTCCTAGCACTATATAAATCAGTATTGGCAATGATGAAATTATAAAAACAAAGCACATCTTACCTTATAGTTAATGGCAAATGTAGCCATTTGCATGGCCATGGACATGATGTAAACAGTGCTATTCACAAGACTGGGTTCAAACTCCTTATAGAGATCCACAAAGTCTTCTTTCCTTAAAGAAACAGAAAAACCCTTGAATATTTTTCTCAGCCCTTCCAGGCTTGAGTTATCCTCCAGATGACCTGACTTCCCACTCACAAAATTCTGGAAACATCACTGAAAATTCTGGAATCTGAAGGCGACATATCTGGAGAACATCTATATTTCTGTATAACTCTGACATTTTTATTTCTTTACTTTATACCCTCGTATTTAAATCCAAGCAGCACTCACTTGGGCTCACTTCGGGCTTGTGCACCTCGATAAAGATATACCAGACTGACAAAATGGACCATAAATTGTAGCAGCACTGTAAGAACTGTGTACAGATTGAAGATATTAGGGAGCGGGCGCTCTGGGGAGAGTGTCTTCAGAGGCTGGAAACAAGAAGAAATAGGTCAGGGTTAGAATTCTACGGGAAGTTTGGAGCCTGACTATGATTCACTTGGGAAGCATCCTGCAGGATGGTTCCTTTGAAACATGACCCCCTTAGGAGACAAGGCCTGTCAATCTGCTGGAAGAATTTAAGACACAGAAATCAAAAGGAAGCCTATCTTTGCTGGTTCAAATCCATTTCGAAACTTGCTTTGCACACACAAAAGCGCTAGAAGCTAAATAGTTCTCATCAATTTTCAACTCCTGGCGACTGCCTAGACAGGTCCATGTAGGTTTTTTGGTAAGGCATTTGGAAAGTTTTGGTTTGCCCTTGCCTTCTTCTGAGAGCGGGAGACTATCCGTTTTGTGGAAAATGACCTAAAAACAGTCAACCTTGGATTATGTGTTTTGTATGCTCTCGACATGAAACAAAAAATGTGTTTTGACAAGTTTCAAGATCAGAGCAAACTTGTAGTTTTGCTGAGTGTGAGACAAAACGTGTCCGTTTCAAATATACTGTACTGAAGTATTGCGATGGTGCTGCTTTATCCCCCAACTTTACACAACCAAGTCACTGCAGTAGCCAGAATCAGTGGTGATATTTGTATCTTCTGCTTGCTTTTAATATGAATGTTACTGGTGCAAGTTAATTAGTGCCAGCAGTCTCTTGTTTTATAGCTATGTGCAAGCAAAAATATAAGCAATGAACAACATATTTAATTTTGATGAGGGCATGTGAGAGACAGATAAGACACACACATCCAAAAAGCAAAGGAAGTATCATATCTATTTCCTGATCTAGGGGGTTCAAGTGCTCATAAAATTGGATGAAATTCTTTACTTTAAAAAAATCAAAACATTAACAAAACTTCAGAGAAAATGTTCTATTCTCTTATTGAGAAAGGCAGCAGGCACTTTTGACACCAAGTTCTAATCTAAACATTTTTCAGTGGATGAGGTATGTGTGCCCCATGTGTGTGTGTGAGAGAGAGTTTAATGTTTCCAAACTATTTTTAAAACCATTTCCTTGGCCAAATTTTCTGTAATTTGGTTCGGCATAGGTGTCTACCCAATTTTACCCCAAGGTAAAAACAGCCAAAATATTTTGAATTTTGTTCCACTGAAACTAAGCTTCAATTCCTAAAATATGGTTTGGGGTTATTGGCTCTTAGCTGGGAAAAAAATGTAAATAGTCCTCACTTATCAACCGCAACAGGAACTGGCAACTTTATCTCTAAGCAGCACAATGTTAATTGTGATGACATAAGACCAAGGGCATCTTACTGTCAGTTCCAGCTGCAATCTTTAAACGTGACATTACACGACTTGTGACT